GCTGGGTCTAGATGATCCCAGCTAGATGCATATCCAACCTCCTCTTGAAGACCCCCAGGGTAGGGGAGAGCACCGCCTCCCTTGGGAGCCCGTTCCAGACCTTGGCCACTCGAACTGTGAAGAAGTTCTTCCTAATGTCCAGTCTAAATCTGCTGTCTGCTAGCTTGTGGCCATTATTTCTTGTAAGCCCAAGGCAAGTCATTTGGGCTCTGCTTCATTTCTCTTCCCTCAATATAGCTGTAAAATGTTTTACCATTAACTCACAGAGTGGTGTTAGAATTTAGTTCCGTTTGCGACATCCCATCTTCACCTTATAAATGATATTTTGCAAATATCTAGTTGGTCTATTAAAAGATATCACCTCTACCAAGAGTTCCAATTCCTTTTGCCTCTGGACCAATATGCCTATAACCTGTAGCCTAAATTTATTTTGGCATTTGGAGATTTTCCCATGAAAAGTGCTCCAGAACTTCTAGTTATAAATGGCATGAAACTTTCAAATTTCTTGGTTCTCACTGCAGTAGATTCATGAGTAATTTCTCCATAACTAGTGCTATACCATTTAATTCCAAGCGATTAAACAGTACTTTACAGGAGACCCTCGCCATTCATGGGGAGAAACGTTCTCGTATCCTCCCCGAATTACAAAATCTGTAAATAAGTCACTGCGTTCACGAACGCTGTCTGCATTCATGAACTCAATGCCCCCAGCAGCTTGGGTGGAGGGCACAGCTGCTCTGGCAACGGCAGGAGTGCAGCGGCAAGCATGGTGCTCCCAAGGAGCTCCTTTAAATGTATTTAATATGCAGGTTCGGCATTTGTGAATATTTGAAACCACAAATGCCAAACCTGCGAACAGTGAGGGTGTCTTGTATATGGAAATAAATGGTAAGCAAGTAAAAAAATATACATTTTCCTGGTCTCAAATTTAGAAAGTCACTAAAGTTTGACAAATAACTTTTATAGAAGATCTTGAAAACATCAGTCTTCTTGTGATGCAACTTTTCAAGTTTAAAGCACTGTTCATTTTTCTTGGAACTAGAATTACTTTTTAGCACATTTTGACCAAGGCAGACTAGCAACCAGTGATTATATTTACAGACCCAGGTGCAAACACCAACATAAAACTGGCTGTTACAGAGTACAAGCATACAAAATAATTGATTTATTTCCCTGAGAGAGATGTTCAGCTAAGCAGTAAAAAGATGACAAAACTCTGAATTGGAATTTGCAGTTCCTACATGGAATGCATTTTAGGTGGCACTAGAGTTTTTATGTGGGCCTACAAAAGAATTTTTCACTTTTTCCAAATGCTGAAATTCCTCCTCACTGAGAAAAACTGTTTGGTTAGTGATGCTGTAGCCATGAGGGTCCAGAAATCATGAGGGAGGCAAAGATTTTTTTAGAGTAACACCGTTTATTGGACCAACTGTGCAGTAGAGGTAGACAGGCTTTCAAAGGCAAGACTGATAAAGAATCTCTTGCATCTGGAAGCCTGTCTACCTCTACTATATAGTTGGTCCAATAAAAAGATATCAGCCTAAGAAATCCTTGGTTGGCAAAAAAATTCTGAGATACCCCTCAAAACATCACTTATTTATTTTTTTTTAAAATGCCTGGGAAAATCTTAGGCATGCCCGGCTTCCTTCATCTAGGCACCACTTCTCCAGTTTGTTCTTCTCAGCTCCAGTGATCAGCTGATATACGGTCTATGCTTCATAGCTACCTTCAGAAGGAAGATGAAAAACTAAAGAGTTCCTTCTTAACAGTTTTATTTTTTTTAAAGAAGAACCTTGCCTTCTTGGCAGGCTCTGGACTTCATGCCTAGTTCCCCCTCAAAATCAGAAGACAAGGTGAGACTTCACAGAACCCAAAGACAAGCTGTGTTTATATGCATACTGCCAAGGGACCAACTCCATTCAGAACTCTCTCAAAGAGAGGTTGCTTAAAAAAATATTGTGCATATGAAATGGCACTGGTGCAAAGGCTTCAAAAGAAGGAACAGAAATTTCTGTGCATGATCTGAAGTTGCCCTTTCAGCATTTCTCAAATCTCTTATAATTTCATAAATGGAAAAAAAATGCCAACATTGACACATTCAGAATCACTGAATAAAAATGCTTTATCAGCAATCTGCAGACTAGGGTTGTTAATTTACATTTCAGAACAATGAAACTTTAACAAGTCAGTCACTCATTGGTTTGAAGTCTGACCATGGTAAATCATGGTAGCAGCTTGTAATTAGGGCAGTCCTAGAAATTGCTTTGAACTGCTTTCATCCTGCTGACAGCTCTTACCTTTTCAGAGTTTGTAAAAACATCAGACTTCAGCTCTCCATCCAGAAACTCATTAAAGTATTTCATCAGTTTCTGAGCCTCCACTGCCCGTTGCCGTGGCGTGTTTACCCCCTCCAGCTGGTCGCCAAGGTGACAGACCTTAGTTGCTACATAGCTGATGTGCTCATCTAGTTCCTGGAAATGTTGGAAGGCAACCTGGGAGAACAGACAAGGACATAAAACTCAAGTTTTCCATTTACTGTACTTTCCAAAAAAGAAAGGGAAATTAAACCACAGATTTGATGGCAAACGAATGTGGGTGCCAAATTAATCATGCTCTATTCTCTACAAGTTAGAGAGCCATGACTGTGAAAGGTGTACTTCTTTCAGATAGTATTCCTAACTGGCCAAAGTTCAATACACACTTCTGTAAAGCCATAAAGCCCTGCTGCTTCACGAATAGTAAATACTGAAGATTCAAGGCAACTGATGATAATCAGAATTGAAACGAGTTCTCACAACTAATAAAACAGATTAATGGCCTAATGCTCAGTTGAAAGTTCTACTGAAATCAGTGGAGTAATATTCATTTATATCAACTAGACCATCTTTTAGCATAGCTATTTATATATGGTATGAAGTCTGGTTTTGGATTTTCCTTTGTATATTAGAGCCAACTTCTTGCTTGTAGCGGGATGAAAAGACATGATGCCATATACTAAAACCCTATACATCCAGACTTTATATTTTTAATGCTTTAAATAGAAAATTTTAGGGTTCCACGTTAAAACCCTAAAATTAAAAGCAAGTATATTTTGTAATTTTATTCTCGGATCACTCGCACCCACATTGACACCTGAAATCTGGATTTATGCAATTACTTTTAGAAAATTAACAAAAAAAGACCCACATTTCTCCTCTTCCCACCAAAATTATTAATAGCCTCAAACTATATGGACCATGCCATTTATCACTTTGGAAAATGGCACATATAAAACCCTATACAGAACAGTGCGTTTTATAAACATCCTGATTAAAGCTGCTTGGAACATTTGACAAAAAATTTGTGTGGAAACACACATTTCAAAGCCTAACCGTTTGCTTGGGTTTCTATTTTGTAGGCTTTTGAGAACCAGAGAGAAAACAAGCAGCCCCAAAAATCAAAAAAGCTCACATTTTCAATCCCAAAGTTGCTATTTCAGCACAAAATGCATTTCACAAAAACATCTGAATGGTTCTCCTTTCATTCTAACGTGGAATGTGAAGTAATAAAAGTTACTGTGGAAGAGGACTGTCATCTACTGGAAAGGTCTCATCCCAATAAAGGACGACACAGCTCTTGTAAGCACCATCAGGTAGGTTAACCTTGAACATAAAACAACTCTGATACAGCTTTTTCCTTTACAGGTAAGAGCTGATCATTTATCATCACACAGTACCGTTCCGTGAACTCAGCACTGATGACTGCCGGGGTCCTGAACAAATCAAAACCAAAGTCTGTGCACTGGCAAGTTCCTTAGCTACAAAAGATGATGCCACAAAAAAAATCATGTGTTCTGTCTCCACCTCCTAGCAAGGTCTGACTGAACCACTAAGTTGAACTAATAAGAAAGTAGCTAATAAAATAGTCACAACTCCTATTTTGTGCATTTCACAGCAGCTCAACAGCATTTCAATTCTAGCATGTTGATAAAACTGTGCTCAAAACACTGGATGTTTCTGGACAGTTTATCCATAACTGCATTATTTCAAAGGGTACATTATCCATAGAAAAATGTGGATTCCAACAAATTCATATACTAATGGGTGGAAAGAGAAACAATGTCTTTATGTATGATGGGACATTTTTCAGTAACTTTTATAATTTGAGATTTACTATCCACCTTCCTTCTTACCTGATTGCTTTTCTGCAGCTCTTGTACTTTCTTGGCAAACTCCTTAGCTTCTTTCTGGCATTGCTGTTCTAGCTTCTCCACCCTTCTTTGAATCCTTTCATCCATAACCTGTAGTTCTTGGATATGGTTTACAAATTCTTCTAATAATCTGATTTAAAAGATGATATGATGAATAATTTTCATACTAAAACCTGCTTTACCTTAAGGTAACAGCAACTTATAAGAGGGAGATCCTTAGACACAGGACTTAAAAAATCTATTCTCCTGCTGGAAACATGAAGCTTTCCCTGGTTACTGATCAACATAATATATCAAACTCTATAGCATTTCAACTTTGTTAAAAATGCATACGCTTGTACAAACCTTGTAATACTGTATATCATGGGCCTAATGAAATGACCACTTGGAAAAAACTCATATACCCAATAGGACAAGAAACTGTTTATAGCAGGGATTTGCATCTCTGTGCCAAAATTCACAACATAAGCGAGGTCTAAGCCCCCTAGTCAGATATATATATATTATATTAATCTGACCAGGAGGCTTAGACCTTGCTTACGTTGTGAATATTGTATATCTATAGCTGCTAAAATTATAAAAACCTAAGTCTGTCTGTCTGTCCAGAACGCTTTGTTCACGCTCTGATTGGCTGACGGAAGCAGCTGTGCTGCTCCAAGCGTGGGGGAGTGCCGCCATGATTCTGAAGCCGCACCAAGGACCGGACAGGGGATGGGGGAGCCGGACAGAGGCTCCCCCATGCCGCTCCCTGCCAGAGGCAGAACAGCAGCAGCATGGGCCACCAGGTGGCGGCACTCCATCTCAGCCCCTCCCCTCCATTCTTGATGGGCAACTGGCTAGTCTGCGCACGCGCACACACACACACACACACACACACACACAACACTACGTTCCTTCTCTTTAATGACTAAACCTACTGTGTATTATACCATATTTCATTGTTACATTTTAAATTAAACTTCCTATTTTAAAGGATTTTTTTTTTCAAAATACACCTTACGATCTCTCTCATCTTGCTTTTGTTAAAACTTATTTCCCTTTCTGGATTTGCCTTGCTTGCTTGTTTTCCATTTCTGGAAGAAGGCAAGCTGATTTTCTCCTGCATGGCCTTCTGTCTCATTTCAACTTTTCCTCCACACCCATATATCATTTCCCCCTACAGTGTGTACTTTAAATCTTTCCTTGGATTTGGTCTATCCTTTCTTCTTCCACTTGCCTCTCAAAACCCTCTCTCAACTACTCTATTTTCCCCCTTCTCAGCTATCCCACCCATCTCTTCAGACAATATACTTCCAAGAACCCAGTCTCTGTTATACCAGGCAGATAAAATTGTTACTAGAATAGCCATATGACTAACCCAGCTAAATCAATATATATGAAAGTTCAGGGGATCTCACATCCACAGGCAATGTTAAAGTAGCAGAGGGAACTGGGATTCCTTCCAGGGTACTGTTTCTAGACCAGGAGTGGGCAAAGTCTGGCCCATGGGCCGGATCCAGCCAGCAGTGGACTCCATTTCCCAGCAGCCCCTGCCTGCATGGCTGAGGCCAGTCTTCATGGAGACCCCAGCGCTGTGATAGCACAAGGCTGGAGTTGTCATGGAGACTGGCCCCAGCTGCACTGGCAGGGCACATGGTAGAGCAGGGCAAGGGGCTGCTCTGGAGCCACTGGGATCTTGCGGGGGGCAGCTTGGGCCAGGGCAGAGTTGTGATCTGCCACCTGCACGCTCCAGGCAGGGTCATGCCGGCAGCAGATTGTGGCTCTGCCCCGGCTCCTTGCAGCAGTGACAGCATGGTCCCAAGCTGAAGCAGAGCCACGATCCACTACCTGCACACCCCTGCCCAGAGCATGCAGGTGGAAAATCACGGCTCTGCCCTGACCCCGGACCAAACTGCCCCCACCACAAGATCGCAGTGGCTCCAGAGCAGCCCCCTGCCCTGCCAGCATAGCTGGGGCCAGTCTCCATGGCACAGCGCAGCAGCTGCGGTCTCCATGGAAAACAGCCCCAGCCCTGTGGGCAGGGGCTGCTGGGAAATGGAGGCCAGCTGCCACCTGGATCCACCATTTTGCCCACCCCTATTCCAGACTGTATTTAGAGATCCAGTTTTTCAGCCTTTAACTATCAAGTACCCATTATAACTGAAACCCTTCCAACTGGCCTAAGCTGCTAGAAGGAATGAGGACTCTCCCTGGTCCTCCTCTCCAAGCCAGTCTCTAACCACCAGGAAGAGACAGTCCCTGCCTCTGTTGATGCTTAGAGGTAGTCTAAGAAGCAACTGAATTAAATAAACTTTTTTTTGTCAGCCTCACAAATACCCACAGGGTTTTGAAAGTCAGCACCTTTACTGCTGCTAGGACTGAACTGCTTTCACTTTGCTACAGCTTAGCAAAGCCATAAAAAGGCAGCAATGAAGCCATCTCTCTGCAAGCTACACAAGTTTAAACATTACTTGCATATCAAAGCCACCTTTGCAATATTAAGACATAAAAAAAGTTTCCTGCTTGTCATGCATGCAGTAGCACTCATTCACCAGACTGTAAATTTCCAGTGACATAATGACAAGTTTCAAACAACAATTCAGGAAGGTTTGAATGGCTTCCATTCATTTCAGTGGGCCACTTCAATCTAGAAATCAAACAAGTGCGATAATGGTCTTTATTTTAACAAAAAATATCAAGCTAATGTTTACTAATTGATACAAGATAATATAGTCATATAGTCAGGCAGATTGGAGTGAAACATACAGCTGATTTCCGGGGTTTCCAGGATGAAGAAGAAAAACAATACCTTTTCTCCCAAACTTAAATTTACAACCATTACTGTTCTAAACAGGGAGGGGAAAATGAAATGCATCCATTCTCCATCAGAATGGCCTTTGCTATAAAAGAAAACTACCACCACAGTACCAAATGCTGCACTCAAAAATACCCTGATAAATATGGAAGTGCATCAGGGAATACAAAGAAAAAGCAATACATTAAAATACACGACAGAGTAAATTAAACTGAATTTAATATCAGCATACTGTAGTGACTGTACTGGACTGGAATGGAATGAGGAGTGGCAATGAGAAAGATAGACATAGGGGAGGGAATGCAGTATAATTCTGTAGTTGCTCAAATTTAATTCAGGCCTAATATTCACACAGGACATAAAGCCTTGCCCACTACCTAAAGCAGGGGCAGGCAAAGTCTGGCCCATGAGCTGGATCAGGCCTGTGGCGGACTCCATTTCCCAGCAGCCCCTGGGAAATGTCCGGTTCCCATGAAGATCAGCCCCAGCAGTGCTGGCAGGGCATGCGGCAGGGTGGGGAGCTGCTTCGGAGCTGGGATCTTGCTGTGACGGCAGTGTGGTCCACAGCCAGGGAAAAGCTGCAATCCACTGTTTGCACATCCTGGGCAGGGGCACCCAGGCAGCAGATCACAGCTCTGCCCCGGTTCCAGACCACACTGTCACCACTGCAAGATCCTAGCCCCACAGCAGCTCCTCGCCCTGCTGCATGCCCTGCCACTGCTGCTGGAACCAGTCTCCATGGAAACACTGGCCCCGCGCTGTCACGGTGCCACTGCTACGGGGGTCTCCAGGGAAACCAGCCACAGAGATGTGGGAAGGGGTTGCTGGGAAATGGAGTCTGGCTACTAACGAGATCTGCCATTTTGACCACCTCTGACCTAGAGGCTGGCATGAAAAGATGAATTCCAAGCAAATTCCAGAGATAGCACCTTGTTACAAACCTCAGAACGATATGCTTTTAGAATGGCTGAAGATGCCTCTGGTGTTGCTCTCCTTGTTACAGGAGTGTTCTTGTTAATGACAAGTCTATTGACTTACACATCTACCTCTAAAGAGTAAAGCTTGTCTACAAATTAAGTTATACAGGAATAATTCTGTGTGTGGATACTCTGATTCCAGAATAAGTGTATTTTAAACTCACGTCCTACCTTAGTATATATTTAAAGTTAGTTTAGATAAGCCCCAAGGTTAGTCATCCAGCTACTAGAGAAACCAGAGATGACGAGAAACTGCAGAGGATCCAGAGGCAAGTGGCAAAAGTGATAAAGAGTTAAAAAGCAAGCTATACAAGGAAGGGTTGAGAGAACCACGTATGCTTAGTCTGAACAAAAGGATACTAAGTGGGGGGGGGGGGGGGGGGGGGGGGAAGAGGGGAAAGAATGGGGCAGGGGGTTGCCCCACCAAAATACTGCCTCAAAGAAAAAAGGAAAAATATCAGATCTCCTTGGTCACAGAGAGCAGGGCAATGGGTTTAAACTACACCAAAACAGAGCTAAATTAAACCTCAGGGAACATCCCTAACCATGAGAATGGTATATCAATGGAACAAGCTGCCCAGGGAAGCTATGGAATGTCCTTCATCGGAGGTTTTCATAAGAGGCTAGACACATATTTGTCTGGGATGGTTTAGCATAATGCATCCCTCATTTATGCAGGGCACTGGATCAGATGACCCTTGGGGTCCCTTCCAACCTTAAGACTATATTATTCTGGTGTCTAACAAACATTTTTTAATTGTGAGTAAAAAAAAAACAAAAAACAAAAAAAAGGAAGAATGCACCTTCTCCCTCCCCCACAAATTGCACACATCTGAAGGATGCAAATATGCGGTCATTTTATGGCTCCAAGAAGAGCAGCATTTCTAAGATGCAAATCAGAAAGACCAACCCCAACACAATTTCTTTTTGAAATATTAGAAATTAGATTGCTTAAGACAACACAGCCATCCTTATGTTGATCAATGTGACAAGTGTATTTTGCAAGAGTTTCTGGGATAGCACAAGAGTCATTCAACCTATCAAAGCTCAGATGTATTCAACAAGCAATTATCATGCCTCGGTCTAACTTTACAGGCTACAATACTGCTGCCACACTAATACGTTCATGCTTCCTCCACGGAAAACGTGATATAAAATCTTTACCAAAACTATCAATACATAGCAAAAATGGCTGGGCTAGTTAGGCAACATCACGCCTCAAACCAACATTTCACCTTCATCAAGCAATAATGGTATCAAGGCTATACGTAGGGGTGCACTGATAGAGTTTTTGGACTGATATTGATGGACGATTTTTAACGACCCATATTGGCTGATACCAAGCCGATTGCTGATACGTGGCTCGGCAGCATGGAGAACAGCGTCCAGCTGGTAAGTCTGCTGCGGCAGAAGGGGTGAGGGGGCAGATCAAGGCACCCCATGGTGAGGGAGAGAGTGGGGCTGGCACTGAGGCTAGGGCAAGCACTGCACAGCTGGGGCGGGGCATGGGACAGAGCTGCGGCTCATCCAGGAGATGGGGCAGGGCCAGGAGGCTCAACAGGGCAAGCCACTACCAGCTGGGGCTGGGGGCACCACCACACCCTTCCTGGGGGAGGCAGCAGCGGTGCTGGGAGCAGTGCTATAGCAAATTTTGGAGTGGCTGTAACCCCCCCTGTAGCTCTGCTCTCAGCATTGTCACTGCCTGCCCTGAGCGCAGCCCGGCCTCCCCACCACAAAAAGCCCTGTGCTGGCCCTGGCCCTGGCCCCAGCCCCCAGCAGCAGGCTGCTCTCGCCCTGCACACAGATGCAGGGGGCACATGGCCCCCATGCCCTCCTGGGGTGCGTGCAGCAGCAGTCACCCCCCTCCTTCCCCATGCCCTCTGGACAAGCCACCCCAGCCCCACTCCCTCATTGCAGGGGCCTCTCTCTGCCCCCCCCCACCACGCCCCTTCCCCCCAACAGACTTACCAGCCAGACGCTGCTCTGCATGCTGCCAGGCTGTCTGTGTGCGTGCACACCACAGTTAATTGCACCGTTATCGGCCACATCAGCCAAAAAAGCCAATTGCTGATAATGTCAATTTTCCTTTTATCAGTGCCAATACAATATGGACTGATATACTGGTGCACCTCTAGCAATAGGCTAAGAAATTTTTATTCAAAAAGCTCAAAAGAAAAAATGACCCCACTAGTACCTCCCTCCCCACCTTTATACACTGCTAAACTTTAAAAAAAAAAAAAAGAAAAAGGGTTCTGAAAGCTCACTAAAGACCTGGCTTGTGGTCATATACTAGGAGTTCTCCCAGTTTCTGACCTCCTTTAATAAACAATGATACTACATGTAGCCTTTTTGTTAAACATGTAAAAGCTTTTTAACAATTTCCAATTATACTAACCCACCTATTATACGCATTTATATTTTACCTTTTGGGATCGAAAGCTTCTACTCCACCTCTGGAACCTCCTCCAGGAGTTCTCCATGCCAGGCGTTCTATGTACTCATCTGCCACAAAAGGCTCCTAGCCACAGAATAAAGATTCTTTACAGCAGGCAATTTATTTAGTTGCTGTTTACACATTGTTATGAAAGCACTGTGTAAGATGATAAAGACCAAGTATAATCTTGACAATAACCCCGTCACCTTTCATGTTTATACATTAAGCTATAAGTCAGCCATCCTAAGAACAGTACAGCAAACTACTAGCTCAGACTGTTGAACTATAGTCTGCGGATTACTAAAATCTTGTTGATGGTAAGGAAAGAGACTGACTCTTGTCCTTTTTTCCAGAAGAGAGGAAAAAAAGAAAGCAAAAGGATGGTAAAAATAAAACGAAGCAAAAAAGACTGGAAAAGCATGTGGGCATTCCTTCCTGCAGGAGAAATTTTCCCACCAGCAAGTTCTTCCACACTAAACGGGGAAGATCTTGCTCTTGAATCAGGCGTGTTTCCTGCAGGAGAAATTTAACAAATGCTTGTAACGCTCATAGTTTCTACTGGGAGAGAAAGGGATTCTCCTGGTAGAAACCAAACACCTACACATGGCCAGAGACTACAGTGACCTCTGTCATAAAAGGAAAAGACACAGCACAAAGACAGCTACCAATACAAAATTTACTAATGTCATGTTCCCACATAACTGCCATACCTGCCAGAGATGTTAAGCAACCATGAACAGGAGGAAAAGGTGTCTCTCCACCCAGCAATGTTTTTCTTATGATGGAGACCTCATTGTGAAATCAAAAACCCTGGCTTGCATTTTTTTACATTACCAGCAAAACAAAACAAAATGTAGAAAAAATATTATTAGTTTGTTTGATGACTCCATTAGTCATTATTTCCTCTTCACTGCTACTAACAGTCAATAGCCTCTTGAAACTCAAGAGCACAATTTTACCCTTTAAGGACACGTGGATAATCCATTCCCTCACTTGATATACTGTATTGTTCTACTGCCAAGAGATTTAAAGTCACTAAAATTAAGTCAGAAGTAAAAAGAAAGAAAAAGTCTAATTTAAACATTTGATACCTTCAGCTAGAAAAGCCTGCTTTTCATCTGCTAGTTCACAAGAAATAAAATGGTTCCTGTGGTTCACGCTATCAAAGCTATTCTGGCACCAGCGCAAAACTTCAAATGGCAAAACCCAGAACTCTGGCCGCTACACTGTTCCATAAGACCCATCTATGAAATGGTAAAGAAGATGGTATCTAAACATATATTTTAATATACTGTCAAATATACTTTACATATTGAATTGTCATCTGACAGACAATAAAAAGATGTTCCCTTGTACTACAAGGTAAATGTCTAACCTTTCCAATTTTGTGTAAAGCAAGTTTGAATTGAAGTGAGAACCTGGATTCTTTCCCAGAACTTAGAAGGTTATTTCCACCATACAGTTTTTACCCTAATAAAATGGTCTCTAACAACTCAAATTTAGTTTAAGTTAAGCAAAAGCAAGGAAACTAAACTGTTCCATATCTCCAAACTTCTCCGATTTTTCACAGAACGTGGCAATGAGATGTACTAGCAAATCATCCAGTGTACTTTCCTTCCTAATAGTTTTTTTTCCACTGCAAACATGAGTGCTCTGTCCAATCCAATTATAAAATTCCAACTAGTAACTAGAATTTTACATCCCTAAGACAACTCCTTCAAAAATTAATCTTACTGTCAAAGCTCACCCTAATATGCAAACTAACTTTCCTCTTGCATTCATCCAATGGGTTGTAAATTGTAATATTACATTTTCATACTAAATATTTGTATAGATTTTTCCATTTTAAACATAGCGAGTTTTCTTCATTGTTCTTTAAATTAAAACCTCCAACATCTAGCCATACTTGTTGCTCTTCTCTACACTTATTTTTTTCATTCGTTTAAAGGAAAATGAGAGAACTTAAGTGCGCTAGGCATTTCTAAAAGAAATAACAAGCCATGGTCTTTTGCCTAAATAGCTTACAGTTCAGTTACCACTACCTCTTAAAGGTATGTGGCATCCAGAATGGGGTACGGTATTCCAGAGGAGTCATACCAGTCAAAGAAAATGTTACAAACTCTACTACAATTTGACCTGCTTCAAATGTTATGTCTGTGTGCACCTAGAACTATTCCCTCTTTTCATTTTAGTATAATGACTTTGCAATGTGACTTTCAGGCAGCATATGCAAAGCGATGAGGTGGCAACAGAGACAGTTTATTTAATTCATCCTACCACTTTCGTGTGTCCCTCAGCATTAATGATTCCCTTCACAAGTTTATTAGCTTATAATATTTAGTGTCCGAAAAAAATAAGGATTTAAAAAAAGTTAGAATAACACGAATAGAGGTGTGTTCATGGAGCTGTTCACATCAAACGTGTATACTACTTGTTAAGCACTGACTAACTCGGCAGTGCACAAGAGAAGCAGCTCCTTTCCGAATAAATCTTAAAGTCTAAACAAGACAGACAAATCATTTTAAAGGGTTTTTTCCAGCCATATGCCTGGATGCTACTTTGTTAAAACAAGCTATTTGTACAGAATGTGTGTGGCCTGACACATGAGCACAAAATGTAAATGCTACAGTTTCACTGCAGCATACCTGGGCTTCAGTACATCTGTCCTGCCAAGAGTATTTCAGTGTATAATAAACATCAATATAGAGCAGTGGTGCTCAACCTTTTGAGTACACAGGCCAGGGGCGCAGCCCCACAGCTGGTCAGCGACTAGATAAGCACTGCATGCCAGGATCAGATTCTGGAGCCAGGCACCATCCTCTCCCAACCCTCTGCACTGGGACTGGGCCTTGGCATTGGGAGGGCCTGACACCACCTCCTCCTACTGGGACTGGTCCCCAGGAGCCCCGGCACCGCCCCCCTCCCTCACCTGCATGCCAGAACTGGGCCCTGGGACGACCCCTTCCCACTAGGATTGGGTCCTGGGGGACCTAGCACCACCCCCATCTTGCCAGGATTGAGCCCTTCTCCCAACTCTCCACAGGGACTGGTCCCTGGGGTCCAGCATCACCCCTGCCCGGCTCTGCATGCTGGTATTCGTCAGTCCACAGGTCCAAGGGCTCTCGACAGGTCTGGACATTTGGAAGCAAGCCCCACCCCACCGTCACCAAATTTCTGGACCCATAGGGAGCCCCATAAGCCAGGTGACACAATGCCCCAGGCCACATCTGGCCCATGGGCCAGGGGCTGAGCCACCCTGGTATACAGCATATGATTCATGCCCACAAACACTATCAAATGACTTCAGGTTCATTATTGCACATGGAAGGCTGTTTTCACAAGTAATATTTTAAGCGGTATCACCCTAAAAATCTAATCAGCTTTTCTCAAGTCAGTTAAAAGAGCAATGATTTACTAGACCAGTCCTTGAATCTCCTTGACAATTTCTGTAGTATTACAACTACATTTCCCTCTCCTTGGTTCTTTGTGAAAGAAACACGTGGGGAAAATCAATTATGTGCAAAATATTGACCAACACATAAAGTAACAAGCATTTTCTTTCACTCTTCCAGTTCTAGCATTCTTACTGTAGCTCCTAAAATTGCTACTTCGTTATTTTACTGTACTGACAATGCAAACCTAAACCACAGACCACAAATTTGTACGTTCAACTGCAAATGTTTAACCTTACGTACTATTACAATAATTTATTTGCAATCTTTCCCCATTTAACAGACTTAAACATTTGCATTTAAATGTACTTTACAATACTGCAAACACTGCTGAAAATAAGTTATTGGAAAAGTAATTTTTAAACACCTAATCTCCTTTAGTGTTTTTAAATAAGCTCTAATGGTTGATTTTTGCACACCTTTGAACTTCCCTCCCTCCAAAAGTAGAGGAATAAACTTGACCCTATCTATTCAATCAAAACCACATTTTAATGAGATACTGCTGAAGCAGGTAATATTGTCGTTGGGTCTGGCTCATCGTGTAAATGGCTAAACTGAAGCAATTCACATTAAAACATTCTTGAGTACAACCATTGCTGAAATCTGTTTTCTGACAATGAACGGAACCTGTAAGACATACCTGGTGTATCAATTTCTATGTCATCCTGCCCAACACAATGCACATAATCAAACAGAAAACAGGTGTTAAAACGTAGCTCCCCCCTCAAACCTAGCAACAAATCATCTTCCTCCACCTACATTCACCACAACAGTTTTTTTCTTACCAAGCCTTAAGTTTTTTCTGGATTTTCTCCACCAACCATTTATGTAATAAATTCCAATATAACTTTTTTGCCTTCATGAACAAAAAAGACAGAGAGAGAGCTTGTATATTAACAAGTGTTTCAATCCTGGGATGTAGTCTAAAGGCCTCAACTCCACTACAAATTTCCAACTACATCCCCATAGGGTCACGTAACAACCAACTGCATCTTGTAGTGTAGAAAACACCTGTGGTGCCGTGTAGAAAACGTGAGACTGACCTGGACCTGTTTTATTCTTACTCAAAGCATTAAGATAATTCCTAAGTTAGTGGCCAAACCACCCTACAAAATAGATCCTTACTATCACCAGACTGCAGGACAACCATTTACTCCAGGCACAACTATGGACTGAGGGGAGCCAAAATATGGCTCTTTAACAGCTATAACATGAAAGCAGTTACAGAGCTGTTTTTAATACTGCATTTTTTTTTAGTCTCACAGGCAAAAAAACCTATGTTAGTATTAAACCTATGTTATAAAACCAATGTTATAACATGGACGCAAAACAATAAGGATTTACAAATATATTTAAACTAAATAATACAGGTAGGACCTTAGAGTCAAATAACAGATTGACTATTTCTGTGGTCTACCAGTGAGTACGGCAACGTGTGCATCTGCTGATGTTAGTTCATGTCCATGCAATAGCAAAGTAAGGTGCACTACAGACTATTTCTTTATTGGTTCAATGGTTACAGCAGTAGTGAAAACTGGACACCTAGGTTTGATTTCCTGCTCTGCTACAGACTTACTGTATTACCCTGAGCACGTCACTAAGCTTTTCTATGCACTGGTTTTGTATCTATTAAAATGGGGATAATGATACTTCCCTATTGCAGAGTGGCACTGTGAAGATAACCAAATTAAAGATCATGAGGTGCTCAGCCAGTATGGTTAGGAGACCTGTAGGTGTCCCTTAAAGAAACATGTGAAAAAATAGAATATTAGCATTGTAGCAGCATCCAAAGAGTCCAGTCTGCATCAGACCTCTTTTGCTGTGCTATACCGTTTCACTGAATCATAATAAAGGAGGGTGGGAGAAGGGACCTCCAAAAGTCAAGTGCAACCCCCTGCCCGAGGCAGGATCACCCCTATCCAAGTCTTGCCATCCAAATCCCTGTCTAACCTGTTCCTAAAACTAAAATCAACCCTGCTGCACAACTACAAGGCACACTGCCCAAAAAACACCCGCACCTGCCACAGGCAAAGCAGGAGGACAAAGGCCATCAGTGTCCCGCCACCACGAGGGTTGTTAAGGTGCACTCAAGAAGAGGCACATCCCTGCTGAGGAAGGCAAAAACCTCCAGTCTGTACCGATCTGATCCTTCCTGGGCTCAACCCCTTCACCGCCTCCTCTGCTGCATGACTCCCCGTGCCTTTTTGTTTATCCACTCTCCATCCACAGCCCCCTCAAGCACTGGGACCTCCTGGTCAACCTCCTCCTGGTGCTAGCCAAGCTGGCCATCTATCTGCCCCAGAAGGAGGATCTGGTAGGACTCACGGGGCTGTTATCCTGTACTCACCGGATCACGTCTCCAGGCAGTTTCACCGGGCAGCGTCCACTGGCTCCATGGCCTCATTCAAGGGCCAGCGGGCACTCTCCGGTGTGCTCTGCTTAGCGTCCCCCTCCACAGCACTTGTTATAAACCTACAACCCTCCCTGTTACGCATTTATTTGACTCAGCAATATCATATTGTTCATTATGGTACATGTGAGGCTGTTTGCAAGAGTAACGTTTGAAACGGGTATCCCCCTAAAAATCTAATTACATTTTCCCAAGTCAGTTAAAAGAGCAACGATGTACTACAACAGTCCTTGAATCTCCTTGACACTTTCTGTAGTATTACAACTATATTTCCTTCTCTTTGGTTCTTGGTGAAAGAAACGCAGGCGGGGGGAACTGATGACATGCAAAATATGGACCAACATGTAAAGTAAGAGGCATTTCCTTTCACTCTTCCACTTTCTAGCCTTCTTACAGTCACTCCTAAAATTGGCTACATCGTTATTTTTACTGCAAACTTAAACCACAGACCACTAGTTTGTATGTTCAGCTGCCAATGTTTAACCTTACGTACTATGGCAATACTGGATTTCCCACCTCTCCCCATTTCACAGACTTAATTAAACATCTGCGCTGATGTAAAATCTGGCGCCAGTAAAACCGTAAACCTCCTGGTATCGTGGATATGCCTTTAGTCACCGAGCACCGCGACCGCTCAATACATTGGTGACAACTGTAACACGTCACACGGTATGAATCGCGCCTGCGAACGCGGTCGTTAACCGGTTGACACGAGGACACGTCAGACACATGTGACGCGGCCTAAAAAAGGCCGGTCCCTCGCCCGACCCCAACTCCGGGCCGTGTCCAGGGGCTCCCTGGGCCCGTCCGAGGGCCGGCAAGCGCTGTCTGCTGTGCTGTGCTCTGCTCGAGGCACTCGCTTTGAACCCCTCGCCCTCACCCCCGTCCCCCTTCGGCCTTTCTTTCGTCCAACCAGACGAGCTGCTCCTCCCCCCGCCGCCTCTGCCTCTAAGGGAGGCTTGTCGTTGCTCCCCTCGAAGAGGACGACTAGGCCTGAGCAGGACCCTCCTCCTGCCCCCCGCCCATCCCCAGGCCTGGCCCCGGCCCCGGCCCCGGCCCCGTCGTGGCCCCGCAG